TTAATGCAGATTTGAAAACATTACAATGAAATGACATATATTTCTGTTTATCAATTATCAGCCATTATGTAAATTGTGTATTAACTGAAAACATTCTTATTACAAAATGGAAACCACATGGTAGTTTTAGCTACCGATTACTGCTTTATGAAACTAGATGAAATTGCTCGTTTTTAATTGATGTGTGGGTGTAAATAACATGAAATGATCATTTCACAAGGCTTTGGTATAATAAGAACACTTCAAAATTTGTTGATTAGTTTATTAAAGGTTCACAATATCTGTGTTTTACTGTTATATTGAAATAAATCCCCCCGTTTAAATTAAAGATGTTTGAAATTCTGCTTAAGAAGTGGGTAAAAAAAACGAAACAGAATGAACACGGTGTTATGATCTTGTTCTAAATATTAACTGATCTGTTGGAGTTTGTATATTTATTTTTGACTTATGAGTTTGAATGTCCCTTTGGTATCTTTCGCCTCTCTTTTAAGTCTTTCTAAATCTCTTGGGAAAGACCCGTAGAAATTGTTTTGATAATTTTTGGTTGCCATTTTGTTCTTGAGCTGTATATGTGTTTTGCAATATCTCAATAATACATATAGCTCTTTAACTTTTTCGGTTCTATTACATCACTGGCTCTCAAATATTTAGCTTAATTAAGGTAACCCCAGAAAAGCGCTTCGGACGCATGAAATTTCTAAAGTGATGTTTTCAATTATTTTGGGGATAAATGATATCAAACATTCATTGCACATTTGAAACTCAGCCTGTTTAACTGATCATTTTTCTTAGTAAGAGTTATCTCCTCTATTTTTTCTTTCTTTTATGCACAACTTATCCGTATAAACAAAAAAGAAATCGATAACATTCTTGTTTTGAATTGTTCGTAACATTATTTTGACCAAAGCGACCAGGTAACATCTTACAGTTCTAATCCACCCCTGACTATTTTCTATGCGACATGTTGTTGTAGTTCATAAAACGTAAGCCTATGGTCTTTTAATTTGAGATCATCAGGCTTCGAAATAGTGTTCCATTATAAATACTCTTTTTTAAAATATTTTATTATCAACAGGTGAAGTTGATATACCATCAATTGTTTTCTGAACAATTGGTATTCAATTCTTTAAAGATTTATTACGCTGCCTTTCAGACAGAGACACATTCTTTTATACCATAGTTGCACAACTAATATGTTGCATAATTGTTTAGGACTTCTTAATATGAATACTGACTTCCAAACACCGTTAACTATCTCCTTCGAGATTTTCCTATAACGAAACAAAACGTTTTAACTAATTAACTATCTTCTCTGACAAATTACATTGATATTACAGTTTTCGATATTTCTACACGATCATTCTGGGTGAGAAAAATAGTAACTTTGTCATTGTATGTTTAAAAGGATATGCAACCTTATTAAATTTAAATTTGATGATGAATATTTACAAGAAGCGTGGTACTGCTGGTTAGCACAGTAAATATTTCAAATTATGCTAGAGCTTCTGTGTTTACATTTGCTTTGCTTTGTGATTACACACATAATTATAATAATCAGCTTGTAAAAATTATTTGTGACAATTCTTTTTTTGAAAATTTGTCTACACTTTTGGTCTATACAAGATTAGATGAGATAATATATATATATATATTTTAATGACACTTTCTTATTTTGTTCATAGAAGACAATTTGAAACATGCAACATATTTCCGTTCAATTCGTTTTTATAGTTGCTAGATACAGTTCTTTGCTGATTATGATAAAAACGGAAAGGGAAGGTATGAAAAGGCCATTTTGTTTGGCCCTTTGAATTCGAAAATAAGAAACTATTATAAACCTACAAAATAACATCCTTCAGATGATCATAAGACATAAGTCTGTCAGACATTAGTATCTATATTTTTGAAATCTGAATTGCATAAATGCATTAGGGCGTAAAACTTCTCGAAATAAGTATAAACCGCATTTACGGCCAAAATAACCTCATTTTGAGATATATAGTCATTGATATTTTTACATGAGCAACAGCATTACCGAAAATTATTTTGTTATACGATGTATTTTACACCGATGTTAATTTGTGTAAAATATATTTGGTTGAGGATGTTGCTTATATCTATTTTGTCCAACAATTATGTAGATAATATTCATTTTAGGTCCAATATGTCCCTTTTAAACATGTTTATGATATCACAAGTGACCTTTCTGCACTTGAGTAATTACAAGGGCCAAATATGGCTCTTCTCGTACTTCTGCGTTTTCACTTAGTCGCATTTCAAAACTGATATTGTGATACATTTTAGAATAAAAGGATGTGATATGATTGCAAATCTGACAATTTTCTTACAGAGACCAAATGACGTTACAATTGGCACCTGCTATAGTTTCATTAACATACGAGAAGCGCTGTACTCTGTCGCGTTCGATGAATCTGTGAACGACAAATTTGAAACTAAGTGTTAGAATTCGTCTGTTCGTGTATTTTTTTTCTATGTTTTCTTTGATTTTTTCAGATAGTAAATGTATGTGTAAACCATAAAATATAACTAGTAGAGTGTAATACCTTAAAAAAATATCCGAATAGTGGCAGATATTCAAAATTTTAATATGTTAGACTCATGAGATAATCTAGTTTTCGTTCAATAAAATGGGAGTGTAAGGCAAGATATTAATACTTTTTTCGCCTCTATAAAACCACTTCAATGACCGGACCAACAGTATCTTCATTTATTTCCCGTCTTAAAAAAGGAGAAAGAATGAAGTCGAGAAAGGGTATAATTGTGAATGTCAATTTGTTTGAAACATCCATGGTAAAAAGGGTCAATGGTTGTTCAATCATTGTGTCTCTTTTTTTTGGGATAAGTATCAATTTAGTTATAATACTAAAATTGTTTTTCTGTAAAAAGTTAAATCACAAAAATACTGAACTCCGAGGAAAATTCAAAACGGAAAGTCCCTAATCAAATGGCAAAATCAAAAGAACAAACACAACAAACGAATGGACAACATTTGTCATATTCCTGACTTGGTACAGGCATGTTCTTATGTAGAAAATGGTGGATTGAACCAGGTTTTATAGCGCTAAACCTCTCACTTGTATGACAGTCGCATCAAATTCCATTATATTGACAACGATTCATGAATAAAACAAACAGACATAATAGGTAAAAATGTCAAAATAGGGGTACAGCAGTCAACACCGTGTCACAATCTTAATCACAACAAAAACAAACAAATATTTAACAAAGAAGCACAAAAAAGCATATATCACATATATTAAAGGTAAGTTTAGGCATTGCAGAAAATTATGTCTTTCTGTACTGTTAGTAACATTGCTGTGTGCAATATATTGTGAAGTACAGCAATCAATATTAAGTGTAAAAGGGCATGCTTTCTTATCATCAGATTAGGTTCTTTGAGCCTCAGTAACTGCGATCATTCTTTAACATGATATAATTCGTATTTAGTTTGTGTTTTGTGGTTATCTAAATGGATTTACTGTTCTGTTTTTTATTGTTTATTCTTCTATGTTTGTTTTGTTAATCTACCTATCGAGATTAAAAGAAGAGGGTTGAGATCAGAATAAACTAATCATCCCGCTGATGTTCCTGTGCCTACCCACAGTCAGAAACCTCATAAGTCGTATGCCATTTCTGAATGTTTTTCGTTGTTTGGAGAACTTGGTGTTGGTGACATATCTTTGGGTGTTTCTGTTATATTTCTTACCATCGCTTATAGTAACGGGAAGATAAAGGGCTTTACATATTGTATAGACACCAATCTGTCTATTGTTGGTGACTATATGTGGCCCTGTAGATGTGTTTTGTTATTCATGTCGTTGAGCTTCTGTCTCGTTGACGTATATCCTATAATTCCTTTAATTGTCCCCGAGCATTGCGGCTTTGATGATATAGTAATGTTATCTGTCCTTCTGTCAGTATAAAACACATCAAAACTCAGAGACCTTTTGACAAAAATCTGTCATACTTGTTAAGAGTACTTTTTTACCTTAAAATATCATTTAGATCGATTTGGCAGTTTTTACGGGAGTTATGGGATCATTTTTTTGAATATTGTAACAATAACACCTTGCGAACGGAACTCCTTTTTACGTTTTAAAGAAAGCTATAATTCTTGGTAGGATTGTTTGTTATCATATGTAGTTGACAATTATGTACCTCAATTGTGATTCGATCATTATTACAGGAGTTTGGGACTTTTTTCAATAGTAGTCTAACAGTGTCATCTTGTGAGCGCAAAACCTCGGAGACCATTTAACAGACAGCTTCCACACAGGAGTTTATTGTTTGTCACCATGTGTAGTTGACCATAATATACCGCCAATTGATATGATCATTTTTACGGGAGTGATTGGATTTTGACCATTTGTTGGAGTATTGTAACAAGAACGCCTTGTGAACGCAACTTCTCTGATACTATTTCACGGACAGTTCACATATTTGGAAAGATTGTTTATCATAATGTGTTGTTGATTATATTAAACCGTCATTTTATTTTGACAATTTTTACGACAGTTATTGGACTTTGACTATTTTTTTAATATTGTGAACTATTATATCGTCATTTTGATTTGATCATTTTTACGGGAGTTATAGAACTTTGAGACCTCGTACAAGTATAACACATTGTGACATACAATTTAATTCCCCATTTATACAGCGCGGGGAGATTTCGATACGACAAAACATTTTTTTATCAAATCGAGAATATGATTGCAAGAAAGAAATTTGAAACGTACATGTGGAATTTTTGCCAAATCTTTGCTAAAATCTCTTTCAAAATGACACAGCTTCAATAATAGTAAATTTTATCAGATTTTCCCAATCTGTATAATGCAGGCAGCTTTTTTATGTTCACATTGATCTGTTCAACATTTAATGAACTTCTATCTCCGGTTATTATTCATTAACAATAGACCGAGCAGGGTATTGGACAGCTTAGGAGTGGAAAGGCAGTGGCAATTGAAATGTATACTTACAACTATTCTATATAAACATGTTGTTGATCTTGGATAATTATCAGGATATCCCGGAGATGTAATATAACTCTCACTTCTGATTATAGTATTACACTGTGAAGACTCTCTCTCTCCTTAAAAGATAAAAGAATAATACATTCAAATTAATAACGAAAACATTCACACACTATAAGCATATTATTGTCATAATAAGTCATCATTATACCATGGTTTTAAGGCATAATAGTCTGTATAAAAAGGTAAAACAAATAACCGAACTCCATAGCAAATTCAAAAAGGGAATGTCCATACAAACTGACAAAATCAAATGCTATCAATCAACAGAACATGTGAAAAACAAATATCATATTCCTGACTTAGTACAGACATTTTCCCAAGAAAAGTTTGGGTTAAACCTGGTTTTAAAGCTAGCTAAACCTCGCACTTGTATGACAGTTGTTTATAGTTCCGTTATATTGACAAAATTGAGTGAGCAACCCAAACAGACATAACAGTTTAATGTTACAATAATTGGGATCCAGCAGCCAAAACTGCGTAAATATACATCACAGTCATACAACTGACTTAAAAATTCAAGCTAACATATAAATTAATCTAACAAAGACGCCACCAACAAAGGTGTAAATTTGACAATAACGTCCACAAAAAAGAAGCCTTTGTCGCCGATAGTACAAACCGTATATAGCATAAACTTTTTCGATAAAGTAAAAACCCAGTAAATATAAATATACAAGGACAAACAAAATAAGAACAACACCGTAAAAACCCTTTGACTCCGCATCGCACCTCCGGACACACCTGCACCAGGAATGCGCAAAGTCAAAATCAAAAACCCGATGGTGGGATGCATAAATATCGACTCACGTCATAAGTCATAGGACCAAAAGAAACATAATAGCAAGGAGATAAATAACGGGGTAACTAAAGTAACATAAAAAGATACACAACTGCAGAACCTAGAATCTATAACTCAAGACCATCTTTTATTGTTTGTGAAGAAAACACTGAATATTTATCAATTAGGTCTTGGTATTTTTTGAAACGGGTTTTCCATTTTTTTATGTGGTATGGTGGTGTAAAAGGTGGCAAAGTCGAAGGCTTTGATAGAATTTATTTCAGAAAATGAGCGAGATTTTAAATTTTCCATTCTTAAGAATCCACATATGGTTAATGCCAAAACGAGAGTAAACAGTGTAACAGTATTTCTGTAATCCCTCTTTCACTGCGGACAAAATTTTGTTTAATCTAACGGACAATTTCCTTTGTAGAAGATACAGATGAGCCAGGAATGTATCATTGTTTGTACGAAGCCTTGTGAAGTTTAGGTATCCAGTTCAAACATGGTAAATCTTCAGATTTGTTGTTCATTGAAATATTCAATGAGGCCATGAAGAACTTGTGGTTTGCCAAGAGCTCATCTGTATTTTTACCACATTAGTAGTTACCTGACGATCGCGAGGGATAGATGTTCTCTGTTGATTTTTCAGTGTTTGTTGGTTTGTTCTTTCTTTAATTTGTCTTATTACTTAGGGATATAATCTTTCCTTTTAGTCCATACTTTTTCTGCCTTTCTATAGTTTCGTTTATCCTTGACCGTTGTAAACACGTTAGCAGTGAGCATTTAATAATATGCTTTCTTCCATTACCAAACATCAATCTTTTTCTTATCGATGATGTCTTATTATGATAAGAAAACAAAACGGTACCGTATGTCTTCATAATTTTCGCTTATTAACTTAAATCGGGCAGTTTGTTGTCCCTGTTGAATTATTTCACTTATTGGTATTCAGTGACCTTTTATAGAGTACCATATTGTATGGTAAATCATTGATGGCCGTATAACGACCTGTATATATTTACATAAGCGTTTGTTGTTCTATGGTGGACGGTTGTCTCATTGGCGATCATACTACATATTCTTATATTTTCACAGTTGAATTTAATGAAATTCCCTTAACAAACTGCTGTTTGTATGTTTGGAAATATTATTGTTTATTGCTTTTTTTCCAATATAACAAACTAATAGGTATGTCAGATCTATAGAATTATCTATAGTATTAAAAGTTTGTTATACTTATGTCGATCAATTTGAACTACCTTACTGAACTTACTGAAATTAATTGTACTTTTCTCATAAGCTGGTGTTAAATAAGATCATTTATCACATACTTAGAGTAAATAACTTATAAATTTAACAGTATCATAAAAGCATTAAATTTACGTGAATATATCCATATTTTCCGAAATGGTGCTTAGCGGGCTGATATGAAAAATTTATCAACTGCCTCCGGATATTATCGCATGCCTTTCCGTAACGCTATCGCATAGCATTCCGACGTTACTCGGTAAATTCCAGAAAATACACCTCAATGGTACGTTTTCAGTGAAAAACATAACAAAAAAGTAGGGTACAAAACATATATTAGAAAACAGGAAAATATATTATGTAAAAGGCAAAACAAATGATACAATAAATGCATTTTTCACAGTTTCCAGCATAATTTAGCAAGCTACTTTACAAATGTTGACTTACAGTGTTCATTATGTTTTGTTGATTTTTTTATCGTCAATATAAAACATAATACTGTTGTTTTTCTCCTCTGTTAGTGCATATGATAGAAAAATTTCATATTGAATATGTTACATTTAGCGTCCGTAAACTTTTCACTTTTTGAACTTCGTCTTGAGAACCACTTAAAATGATCAATATATTAAACTGTTATTTTTCTCCATTGTTGAAGCATAAGATAAAAAGATCATAACATGTCATTTTTCATATCAGATGTATTATCAGCCCTTCGGCTCTTGGGCTGATAATACATCTGATATGAAAAATGCCATGTAATAATCTGATAATATAGCCTTGTAATTGAGTCCTGTCTTGAATCAAGCATTTTTACATAAGCGAGGATAACAGAGGCGGTTTGTTTGACAAAAACTAGGAAATAAACAGTCATTCATATGGGTCTGACTCTGAATTGTCTATGGGTTTTGACACTGAAATATCCATTGGAAAAAAATGAATCAACACTTCATAAATTGCATGCGTCCAAAGAGCTTTTCTGGATTAACATTCATCAGAAACGCTCAAATCTGAACATTTGAAAGCCAAGGATGTATAAGAGGTACATTTATTGTAAATAGATATAAGAAGATGTGGTATGAGTGCCAATGAGACAACCCTCCATCCAAGTACTCTAACAGACCTAAGAACATATTTAGTATCAATATATAAAACACGCAGCCCCTAGTGTAGGTAGGCAGTTTCGTAGCAATTATGAACCCGTTGTAAGTTGCTGATAGAATACTGTCAGTAATTTGAAAATGGGTTTCGATGAAAATTTTTGGCAGACACATCAATTAAATGTTCATCAATACATTCCAGATTAGCAGATGAAGTTGCTATTATTTCTAAAATGACTGTGTTTTGTTTTTGTTAATGAAAAGGCTCTAAAATAAGTGTATAAAATGAAAAAAAATAATTCTGATATGACAGTGTCAAAGCTCTTAGTGAAGTATCTAGCCTTGAGAGAGCTATTACTCTAAGAACTAATTACCATAATGAAAGTCAACGCGCTCTCTTGTGCTAAATAACCTTTTGTAGACTTTTTTTAATTTGAACATTCTCTTCAAAACGTAGTTTTGAAATATACTGAAATGAATCACATCTGTATGCCACTCCAATGACTATATTTTACAAAACGAGCTTACGACAAAACTTTGTCGGCACTTGAGATTCAAGTTAAAATCTGAGTTAAATCTGATTATGTGACAGAAATAATATTTTAAAAAATCCAGTATTAACATCTCTTTCCATCTTATTTGAAACTTTAACGTTACTTTACAATGTAAAGACTGGTATCACTGCAGTGCAAATGCAATCATATGCAAACTCTCCTGGTTAGAGTATACTAAAAGGCGTCTAACCGATTATTTTGCATTACATAATATGTACTAAGTATAAAGAAACAAAGATCCTGAAAGTAACTAGTAAAAAAAAGACAGACAATATTATGGCTAAAAGAACAAAGACGAACAAAAGATGAAGATAAAGAAAGACTGCCTTCCTAGCAACAATTCCAAAAGTCCAGTCACAGTGTCAAAGACCTGAAAAGAATCCTTATTATGATGAATATGGGTTAAAAATTTTAACAAATTTTAAATTAGTATTGGTCTTTAATTGAACTAAGGATATGCAGTATGGGTTAAGAAAAACTATGATAAAGTATAATAATGTACATTATCTGTTCATTGTAATGTTTTCTTCTTCAATATTTATACTATAAAATGTTTTCTTTTTGGTTTAGAATTTGGACTAAATTTTCAAAATGTGGAAGGATTTTTACCATAGCCCACGAATGAAAAGTTATCCTTTATAAGTTTTTATCCTAATTAGATGTTTCTAGTTTATATTAACGACAGTAGAATCAAATGAGACATACAGATGTTCAAAAGGCGATGTTATCATAAGATGTCTTGAATACATACATTTGTATAATTTGAATTTGTTAATACGCAGAAAGTTTTAGTTATGCTAGCAAATTTAGAGATGTAAACGATTTCATGCCAGAACAAGGAGATATCACTGGGATGATCATAAAATATCGATACTTACCCGTCTCACGATACGCAAGTGTAAACCCCTGATAATTTTGAAGTTGGTCGGTAACGAAATAAATGTATACAGCAGATGACTCTGATATAAAGTATATATCATCATAACCACAAAACCTCCCCACTGAATAGGTAGCATTGTCCTCACCATCTCTTATATCTAGGTAGTCCCAACTGAAAAGAAAAAAAAATGTTTTCATGAGAACTCAGAAAGTTGTTCAAACAAAAGATTTCTCGTTATGTTTAAAGATTCCATTTTACTAATTTTTGATAGAGAAAATTTATAAATAAACGATCTTCATTTCAAGCATTACCGTTTGTTTTAAAGCTCCTACACATAAGTGTTATTTTCAAGACATGTAATTGTTATTGAATAAATATATTAATTACTGCTACGTATAATAAAGATGTATTGACTGTGGTAGTAGAAAACATAACATATTTACAAGAGTAAGACGATATATGTGGACTTGTAGATAACTTTTGGTTTTAGGTGCCATTGGGATGTCGTATCATTGACATATACCTCACGGCTCATTTTTATTCATAGAATTGATTGGTAACACCATCGCAAAAGATAAAAACAATTCCAATTAGTATGTTTAGTTTTAGTTCAACAAGTTCAAAGAATCAAGTTTCAAATGTTATTCATACTTTTAAATTCAATTAATGTGTTTAGGATTTGATTACACGTCGCTTCCATTCTAATAAAATACATGCAAAATTTAAAGCATTAGATTCAAAGACAAATATTTTTTCTAGTTAAGAAAATACAGTCGAAAGAATATCTGAGTCAACAAAACACCCACAAGTGTCTTTTTTTTTGCAATTAGTCTAAAATAGTGTAGTGGGCTGGTCAATTTGTTAATGTTAAATTGTTTATATTATTCTAAATGTTATTATTCGACAAGAACTTTCAAAATAAATGGATCGTAACAGAATAAAACTTAAAATTACAACAAATGAAGCATGTTAACGATAACACTGTACTTTAAGTTAACCATCCTTAATGTTCTATAGTGAAAAGAGGTGTGGAAGGTCACGTTAACGCTTACTACTGTGCATGTTTTTCTTAAATCGATTGATCAATGTGACGTTCTATATTGCCATCTCACATGTTGCTTTCGTCTTCTTGACATTCATGCTTTTATTTATTTAGGAGACAAATTGCATATTGGTTGGTATTAAATACGTACAAAACAATTCGTAATGGCAAAATGTAAAAGTGCAAAATTGCAAGTTGAAATGGCAATTGTAAGTGGATAAATAAAAGAAGATTTTGGGTATACGTCAATGAAAAAGCAACCCAGCGAAACATATAACCAAAATGCATTTACAGGTCAACATAAAGTCTTAAACAATAGGAATGTGCCTACACAATATTTTTCATTATTACAACAGAGAGCGTAAAAATAATGAAAAAAATCATCTCCAGCCATTTTTAAAAATTGCGTTCTGTTTTTTTTAAATAGACTTTATCGCAATATTGGAATCTGCGACACTTGACCTTAGAATTTGCGACACTATTCAAATAAAGACTTACTAATGAGCATATATAATGTTTTGTTCTAGAAACAATAACTTTCGAAAGAAACAAGATGATGTTAATTTATAAATGAAAAGAAGAGGGCGTCAAGAACAATATATTTATCTAGACTAACTGTGTTTTCAAGCTTTTTACTTTGCTTACAACATATTATCTTCACGTTTCTAGCTACGCACAAAACAGTTATAAACTATAATGATATTCAATTACGTATTTGAATAAGTATCAACTGAAAGGCCGAAGTTAATCCTTATTTTGGAATATTATGTCTTTGTTTGGTTAGAACTCGATCCACAGTTTAATGATCTTTTAAGAATAACACCGAGTTGAAGGGTTATAATGAAAGTGCGTATGACAGATAGATATAAGAAGATGTGGTATGAGTGCCAATGAGACAACTCTCCATCCAAGTCACAAATTGTAAAAGTAAACCATTATAGGTTAAAGTGCCTTTAAGGCAAAAATAAAATTCCACATACACATTTGATTAAAATCATATTCTTGTCACGTCTGTCGCAAACGACAACTTGAGCTACTGTCATCACACGTGGCCCTATTGTGAGTATTGACATAGAATGTTTAAGTCTCATTCTACCTGACTGGCTTACTTCTAACCCAATAACGACCATTCCACTACATATAATAACGCTTTTGCTTTGATTACCGTTATCTTTGCAGGTATTGTGCTGGTGCTAATTATAACATCGTGACATACATAAATAACAGATCTAATATTATGTGTTAAATTTTGCTGCAGACAAATGATTACTGATGGAATTGGAAAATAACTCCACCGTAAGATGGAAACAAAGGATATCGCCAATGAGGAAGTTTGACATTACGAACGTTAAAGTCGTGTCCTTTGTTGTAACTTAGTATATCAAGTGCCTATAAAAATTCCAAGATGTGGTATAATTGCCAATGAAACAACTCTCCACCAGAGTTCAAACTTCGTGCGGCCTTCAATAATAAGAAAAATCCGAACCGTATAGTCAGCGTTACAAGGCCCCGAAATTCATGCCATAACATTTGCCTTCATGTTACTTTAAGCATGTGGAGCTGGATTTGCTTACCCTTCCGGAGCACCTGAGATCACCCCCAGTTTTTGGTGGGGTTCGTGTTGCTTAGACTTTAGTTTTCTATGTTGTGTCATCTGTACTATTATTTGTCTGTTTGTCTTTTTATTTTGGCCATGGCGTTGTTAGTTTGTTTTCGATCTATGAGTTTGAATGTCCCTCTGGTATCTTTCGTCCCTCTTTTTTAACAGTATGATGTATCGATGTTTTTAAGTTCAGAAACTTGCGTTTGTCCTATAGAGGTCAAAATCAAAATGTGACCACACTCTACCAAATGCAAATGAAAATTGTTAATCTGCATTACTTTTTAATAATCTTCGCTATATGGGTTCATAGAGGCGAGAATTTACCATTCAAAGTGCAAATTTCAATTTTTGGTTAAAATAAGGAATTTTTAGACGTTAAAATCTGAAAATCGAAAGTCTCTGAAAATATCTGGAAATTTACTGCATGCATACTATCCTACACAGTTTTCAAAATCTTACGACGTTTGTTCAATTTCGAAAGAAGATCCGTTGGTTTGAATTTTTATTAAATGAGACTAAATGTAGATGTTGCATTTCTTTTGGCTATCAGTATATATAGATTTAGCTTTACGACATTTTTAAAGTGTTGTTTTCAATTACTTGAAAAATGTGTAGATCAGATTCTGATTAGGACAACATTAACTGTGTTAGATGAATTCATCTTTGAGTTAGGTAAATTGATGAAATTTGTGCATAGAAAAGTGCAGATCATTCATGTAACTTTCTTTTCAATAAATTCATCAATTCAAGGAATACATCTTCTTAGACAGGTGCACAATTTGTGTCAATAAGAATTTATAACAATTGTGACAATAGAATATATTGTTGAAACGGATGTAAATGTTGTTACGGAGAAAGTTAATCATCCCTTTACAATTGAAATAAGTGTATCACGCATAATTATCTTTTCCGTTTTTCCAATGTTACAACAAATATATTAGCGAAGCGAGACACATGATTTCCACTTTAATCACATTGCACCCAAAGATTATTATCATCGATAATATAAAACCTGAAATTACTATCACAGCAGAACAAGGAGACGGTAACAAATTTAAAGTCAATAAAACCTAAAAATTTGAGGAAAAAGATATATGGCTGCCCCTAAATCCGCCTTTGTATCTATCCAACCTCGTAATTCTTATAATCAAATTCGTCTTGATTTTGAACACAATAATTGCCTGTACATGTGTAACATCCATAATGTATTTATACCGTTAAAATACCGTATTCACAATCCGTTTATGTATTTAAAATTCTTCAGAGGATCATACATACTAACACTGTACCCTGGATATTTAATAATATAGAAATATCGTTACTGTTCAAGGTGCACAGGTTTGTCTGTACTCAGAGTAAACCTTGAGTTGTAAACACGGCCATATTTGTCCTCCGGGTGAACCTTAAACCTGTCCTTGCCTCCAGGAAAACTGTAGGCTGTAACAGCAAAACGCGTTTTCAGACACAATTTGTTGCTGACAATAGCGTGAGTTGTTTAAGATAACATTGTATTTAATGCTTTCATGATATTAACATCGTGATTAGACTGTTTATCCATCAGGCTTTTACTGGAATTGTCACTGTTTCAATGGTGCAAAATTCATTCCCATTTACCGAACCGCGCCATTGTTTATTTCATGCAAACATTACGTATACATATACTTTTATTAAACGTATTGTAAAATTGAATTTTTATTTGTTTCTGTTTTTCACCAAAATTAGATTAGTTTTTAGAATGAATTGTCAGAACCTGATCATCCTCTGTTGTTCTGTCTGCGCATGATCGTAAGTTGAAACCTACTGTGTCCGGCCAGCATATACTGTGGGAATTCTTTTTGTATGTTATGCATGCAACTGTCCTTTCTACATTTTTTGTCAGTGAATTTTGACTTTGGTATTATAACGTATCAAAATGTCGAGTTCATTTCCAATTTATTTGGTTTTTAAAAGTGAAATATATAACATTGTTAGCGCAACAGAGAGAAGTTATATATATGCCTTAAGTGTTGAATTATTATGAAGGTATGAAAATGATATTTATAAAAATAATAGAGACAATAGTTATTGTGATTTGTGAATTTCTACGTGTACGACACGGGGGTATTTTCAAATTATGATTAAATAAGTACAACACCAAACGATTCCGATTTGGTTTGCTGCAATAATAGAATATTAATCTCCATTTTATCTATACATGAAGAGATATTTTCATGCAGCGTGAATTTGTTTGTAAATTTCAAGCAATCCAATTATTTTCATTTTGAAAACGGTTTTTACATTCAATAATATTTCCGCTGGATTTATTTCTGTGTGGCAACATTAATTCTGATATCATTTTTATTAATGCGTCACATGTCATGATAGAAGATAAACAAAAAGAAAAGGAAAATCCATTCCAAACGGATTTTTCGCTTATATACCATAACCTCATAGCATTTAAAAGCGAGCTCGTATATATTTTATATTTTCATGAGCAAACTTTTCAACAAAGACAATATATGGGGATTGAAATCAAAGTCTGACAGA